TGGTGGTCGTGTTGATGTTGATGGTGGCGGTTGTACCGATGTTGTTGCTGGTGGTCGTGCTAATGTTGATGGTGGCGGTTCTACTGATGTTGGTGTCGGTACTGGTGATCGTACTGATGTTGGTGTCGGCACTGACGATCGTACTGGTACTGGTGTTGATACAGTAGACGGATTATTTTTTTCTCTAACATCAGTATCCTCTCGTCGATCATCTTCACGAAGTTCGCATGACATAGAGGATTCTCGTTCACGTACAGGTAATAATCGTGTTAATTCAGTAATAATTTCTTGATTATTTGCTTCGGTTGCTAAATCTAAAGCTGTTTTACCATCAGCATTTCGTAAATCAAGTCGAAGTGGATTATTATGTAAATTATATTCATCAAATTTTCTTACATCACCATAACGAACTAAATGATGTATAAAATAATTTGAACAATATGGTGGTTTTTCATTTATTAATGTTCGATCTTTTTCTAACATTGCATCAATCATTGGCCAATCATCTTTTTTACATGCTTCAATAAATGTATCTTGATCAAATAAACGTTTAATATATTGATATTGATCTTTATAATATTCTTGTCGTTCGTTAGCTATATCAAGAATAGTTTTTGGTTTTGGTTTATCATTTGTTGTTGAACGTATATTTATTGGATTTTTTTCATTGTATAATTCTAATAAACGTTTAAATAATTGTAGATTACCATGATAAATTATTTGATGTCCAATAGACCAAATACGATTAGGTGATATGAGAAATAAATCATTTGGATGTAGACGAATATATTCATATACTTGATCCCATATTGTTGCATCACCAGTAAATCCATTTTTAACTTTTAAATAGACTTGATCATATGTAGGTGAAGCATTTGCCATCTAAAAAAAGATGAAAAAAAAAATTAATATCATGATTAAATTGAAAGTCATTGATAAATAAATAAATTCTATTATTATTATTATTATTATTATTATTATTATTATTATTTGTATTATTTTTTTTGTTTTTCATAAAGTTCACTTAATGCTTGTTTGATCACCATATTGGGTACAAGTGTAACATTCGTTAACTCAATATTTGTCATAGGCGAACGTCGATTACCTAAATCAAGCCATTGTTGTATTGCTGATCTTTCGTATGTAAAGCCATCAGATAAAACAACAGGATCATGAAATATTTCTTTTGTTAATGGACATGTAAAACAATCTAACATATTATTACCACCTGTTGTTAGAATTTCTTTTTCAACTTGTTCATCACGTTTAATTTTTGCTTGATTACGTTTATCTTTTTCTTTATCATGTTGTTCACGTATAGCACGCATCTCTGGTGATAAGGATTCTAAATAACTAGCGAATCTTGTATGATTATGTTCAAATGCAACTTCTGATGCCGTTTTTTTATCATTTGTTAATAATTTCATATCAAAATTACACATACTACGAAGTTGATCGAAGGCGTTTTTATTATCAGCAAAAGCTAAATGATGAATTAAATAATATTTTCTATATGGTGGTTTTAGATTAGCTAAATCTTCATCTTGTTGAAGCATTTTTCGACATTCATTTATTTGATTATTTTTTCCATATTCAACAAATTTATCCATTGTAACAAGACGGTCTATTGTATCATATAATTTTTTATGAGTACTAGATTTTGTTTGATTTTCATTTGCTATTTGAAGAATATCTTTTTGTGGTTTTGTTGCAGTTTTTGTTAAAAGAATAAAACGTATATTTGGTATGGCTATAACTTTATTAAATAAATCCAATAAACCATACATAACAAGATAATGAAGAATTGAATAATTATCATTATCTGGCATTAATGTTAAATACTCTGATTTAGCTAATAATGTACGATAAATAAGATCATATTGTGTTTTGTCATTACGTTTTACAATATCATAAATATCTTCGAATGCTAATGATTCTCGATTATTTGAAGTAGATGATGCCATTATCTAGAAAAAATAAATAAATCAAAAAGAATATATTTCTTCTTTTTTTTTAATTAATAGAAAAAATTCTGAGTATTTTTAAAAATTAAATTTATATCACAGATGGTATCAAAATTTACAAAAAAAAAGAATCAATTCTTCATTCTCTGTGCTTATTGAAGTAAAGAAAAAATGAATAGAAATAATAATCAGAACTTAAGATTTAAGATTAAGAGCATTAATAATTTGTTTAATCACTGTATTTGGATTAAGATCTTTATTAGGAAGTTTTTGATTTGTCATTGGTGAACGATCATTATTTTTAAGCCAAGTTGTAATTGCTGAACGTTCATAGGTAAATCCATCAGCAGCAATCACTAATGAAGAAATAGATTTTATTTTATTTAAAAAAAAGTAATAATAATTTAATTCTAATTAATAGTGAATAATCATTTTATCCGAGAAAATTCAAGCTTTAAAAATTATTTATTTCAAATGTTTTTACTATTCAAATAAACTCATTTGAATTGCTTATTAAATCTAATTAGTCAGATATCTAAACTGAAGAATAATTTATCAAACTGAGATTTGTTTATTCCATTTTATTATTGCAAGGATAATATCTCTGTTTTGTTTTACGAGGGAACATTCTCAAATGTGACTCGTCAATAGAATCTGTCAAGTCCAAGAATTTTGGACCTGATGAGCTGTAGTCGTCTGAGAAATGTGTAAAGTATGCTGGTCACTGAGAACAAAATCTCGAAAAAAGTATCTCGTATCTTCACAGCGACTATCCAATTCTGATTAGAAAATTTCATTGAGAGTATCAAAGTACGGTTCGACCGAGAGCCCGAACATTTTAGACCCGATGAGTTCTAATGAGACTAGTAGAAATCTGTAAGAGTTCGTCTTCATGCACTGTCTTTCCAAAGTAATTACAATTTTATTTTATTTTTTTATCTCTGACAAGGTATTTGTGAAATAATCGAATTATGAAATTCTAACCTAAAATTTTGCCCATAGGTAGGTCTCGTACACCTTAGAATGTCCTGAATATTGAAAACACTGGACTTTCTGACATTTTCTTGTGACAGATGATTATTTTTCGACATTTAATATCTCAAGAAGGAGACATCCCTTTAGGCTGAAATTTTCAGAACATGCGAAGGTCCATAAGACCTACCATGAGACAAATTTTCAGGATGAAATTCTGTACTTTGATTTTTTTCACCAACACCTTGGCAAAGATGAAAAAATCCAGTAAAACTTTAATAACAAATGCATAGGAATGGACCCTTGTAAGCTTCCATTTGTCTTAATTATGAATAAAATATCAGTTTTATTTGCGCGTTACACTTAAGAACTTTCCTCTCGTTAGTGCGTCGTTTTGTATATGCAATATACGAGCTCAGCAAAAATGTTTGTTCATTCTGTTTAGTAGATAAAAACTAAGGGAAAACTCTTTTTTTTGTTTTCATGAAGTTTACCTGGATCAATAAATACAGTAAGTGTAAGAGGACACGTAAGGTTATCAATCAACATTTCTGGATCTATGTCTTTTTCAGTTTTCGAAGCTTGATTACTTTTGTTTTTTAGTTCATTTTCTTGTTGAGTTCGTATTTCATTCATATGTAGCATTACTTCAGCACGATTCTTCATTTTAATTGGTTCACCCATAAGATCATTATCTAAATCTTTGACTATATTTTTTTGTTCCATCACAGCATTTATAGTATCCGTACGTTTTTTAGCTTCTTCTGATGCTTTATATAAATCATTAAAAGTAGAATCATCTTTATCTAATAAACTTGGATAAGATTTTTCAATATAATCAGCAAATTTTGGTTGCTTTTCTTCTCGAGCAATAATATTAATTTTTTTTCTATCAGCTCGTAAATTTAAATTAAATATACAATTTTTAATTTCTTTAAAACGTTCAAATTGTTCAATAGCATTTGCACATGCCATATGATGAATTAAATAATAACGACGATATGGTGGTTTTTCATTAACAAAACTTGGATTTTCTTTAATTATTTCATAACATTTATCCCATTCACAATCTTTAGCATAATTAAGCATTTCATCAAGTTTAATTAATTGTTGAATACGGTTTTTCATATCTGGTGTATCTGCACGAAGCGCAGTTATATCTAATATAGTGTAATTATCACGTGTATTAGTTAATAAACGAAAATTTTTATTAGATTTTTGTAAAGCAAGTAATTGATCCAAGTGATTAACATTACCAGAGAGTATAATTTGATGTAAAATTGCCCATTTTCGATCTTCCGGAATCATAGTTAACCATTCCGGATGAAGACTAACTGCCATGAGAACATCGGGAAAATTTTGAAAATTTCTCGCATTATCAATTGCTTTTTGTAAAAATTCTGTTTCATTCATAATTTATTCAAATATAAATCTGAAGATAGAAAAGAAAAACAAAAGAAATTACTTGATTTACAAGAATTATTTATTACAAATATCAAAAAAAGAAGAAAATATCGGATGCATCCTTTTTTTTTTTTTTTTGTTAACAACACTGATCGAACAGAGTATCATTATGTGCAATATCACATGTAAATATAAGCTTATACAAAGTGCAACGAATAACTACTTAGTACTATAACATTTATTAAATATTAGTATTTCATTTTTTGTCAGGTTTCGTAGGCAAAGAGTTGGCACCTTGTAACGATTGTAGAATTGATTTAATAGCATAATTTGGTTTTAATTCAAGGTTATCGAGTTCTTGATTTGTCATTGGACTACGATTTGAATGTTCGAACCATTTGGTAATAGCTTCTCTTTCATACGTAAAACCATCAGCAGCCACAACTGTAGAATAACAAATAGTTCAATATGATATCAGAAAATAAAAATTCATTTTTTCGTCTTTGTTCTTTAAAGTTTCTGTTAAGAATGATAGAGTGAGTGTGTGAATGATGTATTTGGATAGTCTTTTCGCACGCCTACATCCATACCCTCAGAAGTGAACGAATGAAACATGAAAAGAAAATTCTCGATTGGTAAGAATGTTTACATGATAGTAGTATCATCGCGAAAATCAAATGAGCATAAGTGTTTTTTGAGTAACTCGAGAACGAAAGTAGTTAGCGGTGTCCGACTTTTTTCTGACAAGATTTAACTATACTAGTCTTATAGTGTTCGTCACATTGTGTAGAAATTGATATTTGTTTTGGATGTAATTGTAGATGAATACAAAGCTTCTACTAACATCCACACTCCACATTGTGTTTGATTAAACATAATATCAACTTGATTTTGATTATAATGTATTTGAATTTTTAATTCAATATATAGATTTTATAGGTAGTTCAATTTTAGAATAAAGTGTCATTTTTCCTAAATTTGAAAATTCTCTTAAATAATAAGTTTTAGAGATTTTTCAATTTTAGAATAAAGTGTCATTTTTCCTAAATTTGAAAATTCTCTTAAATAATAAGTTTTAGAGATTTATATAGTTCTAAAAATTATTCTACATAGACAATTTTTATACTCTAGCCAATAGTTAAATCGAAATTACTAACGAATATTTATGAAGAATGTAACAGACAAATTTCTAGGAATAGCTTTTGATAAAATTAACTTTTGAATCTGTTCGACTGCAGTAGTGCATAAATCAAATGAAAGTCAAATATCAATTTCTAGACAATTTGACATGAGTTATAATGCTGGCATTGGGGATGGATCAAATTGTCAAAAAATCAACTATCATCACTACAAATCAACCTTGCACGAAATATTGGCTCGATATTGTCAAATGGTAATAGCTGATCGGAAAGGGTTAAATATCAAATAGTTGCCTTCGGAATTCTTTTTTTCCGAAATGACAATAAAAAAATTCTGATTAATAATTTTTCGATCTAATAAATCTAATAGACATATGTAAATTATGTCCTTTTTCTCATATCATAGAGGTATAATATTATAATCAAAATAAATTTGACATGAAGAATATTAAGAATTAGTTTTACTCATTATAAATATCATAGTTAATCTCTTACCTGGATCACGAAGTATAGTTTTTGTAATACAACAAGTAATTGAATTAAGTAAATTTTGTTCAGAAATATTTTTAACATTTTTCTGAGCTGTTTCTTCGTATTTAGTTTGTTCATGACTAGTCATTTCAGATAGTTTTGATTTTGGTTTAATAGATTTTTTATAATCATTATTATTATTTCCATATGTAGTACTATGTTGAGTATGTGTTGGCATTGCCATATGAGCTGTTGTTGGATATGGACTTTGATGACTATTATTTGTAGTAGATTGTTGATTATTTGTTTGATTTTGAAGACTTTGTGTTGCTGTTGCCATTGGCATTGATGATGTTATCGAATGTGCACCTTGATAAATACTTTTTGTTGTAAAATGATTATCATTTGTTAAATTTTGAAGACTATGTGTTACTTTTGGTGTTGGCATTGCCATTGCTGTTGGATTTTCACCTTGATAAAGACTATGTGTTGCAAAATGATGATCATTTATAACACTATGAGGATTATGTGTTGTATGATGTGGATAATGATGATGATTATTGGAATATGTTGTTGAATGATTTGACAATGGAAATATAGTATTTAAATTAAGATTTGGTGGAATGAATGATATACAAGGATCATCATAAAAACCAGGACTATAATGTGTTACACCAGGTTCATCAAATGATGATGTATCATCATTTGTATCGTCATTTGTTTCAGTTTGAAGACTTTCAATATATTGAGCAAATGGTATTTTATTATGCTCACGAGCAACTTGTGCAACTGTTTGATTTCCAGCAAGTAAATCAAGATTAAACTTACAAATTTTACTTAAATCTTTAAATACATCAAGTTGTCCAACAAATGCAAGATGATGTGCTAAATAAAAACGACGATATGGAGGTTTTTCATTAACAATATCTGGTTTTGCTGTAATAGATTGTTTAACTAAATCCCATTTACGATCTTTAGCATTATTTAATAATTGATCAACAGCAACAAGTCGTTCAATACGACGTAACATTCCCGGATGAATATGTGAACGTTCAGTAGCAACTTCATGTATAGTTTTACCATCTCGTGCTTTTAATAGAAGACGAAATTGCGCATTACTTATTTGTAATGCAAGAACTTCATCTAAATGTTTGACATGACCAGAAAAAACTATTTGATGTAACATTGTCCATTGACGACCTAGAAGAAATTTTATTTTATTTGAAAAAAAAAAATTGTTTTTTTTTTTTGTTTTCTTCTTTTACAAACCATCAGGAATTTTTATTAACCAATTGGGATGTGTCGTTAATGCATTAATTACTTTATGCCAATCACGATTTAATTTTGCACAATCGTATGCTTCTAGGAAAATAGGATCCGAATTTGATGTATCAGAAGAAGATACTGTTGCTGCTGCTGCTGCTGCTGCTGTTTGAGTTTCAGCATTGTCGATTATATTAGTTTGTTGTTTATCAACCGTTGAAGTTGAAGATTTTCCAGACATAGACGAAGTTTTTGGTTTTCTACAGAGAAAAAAAAAACAAATTAATAAATAATATTAATGTTATTATTTAATTGATAGATAGGTGAAAAAAAGAAAAGAAAAACAACCAACGCACTTAAGTTTGTTATACCAATTGTGAAGCATGATAGATGGAAAAAAAAGATCGTAACGAAGTTGTTTTTCTTTTTTTTTACTTTTTTTTCTCGTTTTCTTTCAGTAACTCCTACACATGTGTAAGAACAGAAAATAAATAAAGGAAGAAGACGAAAGATATTTAAAAGTGTTTGTCACCAAAACACCTCATTGATTGTGTCGCTGAATATTCTGCTTTCATTGAAAAAAAAAAAAAAAACTTCTCGTTTTTTATGTGCTCTTTTTTTTTCTATGTCAATATGAGTTCTCAAACGAATTGAGACTTTTATTGCGAATTTTTTATAAAGAAAAAAAGAAAAGCTTGATGTATGCTTGAAAGCGACTTTTACCTGGTGTTTTATATTTTCTTCACATATATGTCTGACTCAAATGATTGACTATATAAAGATGAATAGAAAAGAAAAAACCAATTCTATGTATAGTATTGCATAAATACTCCACCTATAGTTGTGTTTATCACGCGAAGCACTATAAGAGAACGACGAAAAAAAACAAACTTCGAACTACCTTCTCATAATGTTTTTTTTTTCAGTAAAAATTCAGCGGTATGACAAAAAAAAATCAACAGAACATTCGGAAATAGACAACGTAGAATAGATTATAGTGTGAGTTGAAAGAGAAATGTTTCGAGCGCAAAAATGTCTTAAAATAAATGCATGCACACTTTGTTTTTATCAATAAAAACAAACCTATTAATAATTCTTTTTTTTTGCGAATGCTTATTTTTTATCGTAAAAAATCAAAATTTTATAAAAAAAAAAAAAAAAAAAGAAAAAGAACGCTTTCGACCATTTCAATGTCAGATCTAATTGTTATTATTATCAAACAATTCAAAGATTAATTTTTTGTCACTTATTAATCGAATTGTATTATATATTTCTTCTATTACAACAGACGAAAGAGTTATAAAATCAAACTCAAATTTTTTTAAAACTCAAAAACAAATATCATATTATCGTTGAAATACTGTCCTCAGTTTGCGTAGGTGTCGTATGATATATGTACTCTTTGATATAGTGCTTACGTCATCAATAGAAAGTATATGATATTTTTATCACTATACAATAAATTATTAAATATGAAGAAGAATAAATCGAATTACTTCTCTCGATTAAAACGTGTTTAATTGAAACAAACTTGAACTAACATTTAGTTGATTACATGAACTTCACATAGAAAATTTCTTTTTTTCTTTCGTATCCAATTAAATATACCAGTAATTCTCAAAATTATTCGATCAAGTTTATTTCTACTGCCATCAACACTAATAAGAATTATCAGATAGTGATTATTGTAGAGAATTTTCGACGATGAAAATGATTTTCTGATATTCGCAAATAGAAATTATCCAGAATGATAAAGGAAACAATTCTCTACAAAATGAAACATCTCTCCACTCGCTACCACGTTTTTGAACCGAGGTACATCAAATATTATGAAAGGCATAAAAATAATGTTTCTATATGAAATAACAGAAAAAAAACGGACTTTTATGTCTTTCGTAAGATTCTATGAATAAACGTCATAGAGAGTTAAGAGACATTTTATTTTGTAGAGAATTATTTGTTCTATCGTTCTAAGTAATTCAAACAGAATTCTCTTTGCTAATTCTTATTAGCGTTGATTGTCAAAAGAAAAAAAACTTGATCAAATCATTTCGTGAATCATTGTATATCTCAAAATGGTTAACATCAATCAATATATTTCCTTTTTCAAAATAGTTTTTACCTGTAAGCAAAACAATTTTTCCGATATTTCTATTATAAAATGCATATCGTCGAAATTTATCTAATACGGAAAAAAAATTATTATATATCGAACAGTAAAACATGAGAAAATTTTAAGTTATACTTGTTTATTGTTATTAATCAAAAAGAAAAAAAAAACAAAGAAACTCTACTGCATAATCATCACGATATACAGAATAAGATGTTTGTAAAAAGGAAAAAAAAAACAAGATGGTTCACATTCCATTATAAGCTGGACCTTCTCCACCTTGTGGTGTAACCCAATTAATATTTTGTGTTGGATCTTTTATATCACATGTTTTACAATGAATACAATTTTGTGCATTTATTTGTAATTGTCGTTGACCAGAATCATTTTCAACAAATTCATAAACACCTAAGAAAATCATAAGAATTAAATAATAATGAAAAAAAACCAAAAAAAAGAAATTTTTACCTGCAGGACAATAACGTTGTTCAGGTCCATCATACATAGGTAAATTAATATTTGTTGGAATACTATCATCTTTAAGTGTTAAATGTGGTGGTTCATCATGATCGTGATTTGTATTTGTTAATGCAACACTTGATAAAAGATCAAATGTAACAACATTATCAGGTTTAGGATATTCAATTGCTTGACAATCTTTAGCTTTTTTTAAACGAGAATGATCTGGTTCTATTTTATATAGAAGAAAAAACATAAAAATATAAATGATGAAAAATAATTCAACAAAATATTTACCTTCATGTTTAAGTGTAAATGGTTCTTTACCACGTAATACAAAATGAAGAGCTCCATAAAGTAATCCACCAAATATACCTAATGATGTATTAAATGCTGGACGAAAATTACGTACACTATATAATTCTTTCCATATCCAACTATTTTTAATACGATTATCATAATCACTTGGTTCTATACCTTAATATTTAAAATAAAATTCTTTCTTTTCTTTTTTTAAACTTAAAATACCTTTTGTTTTATTTTCATCTGTTGATTTTATTAATAAATCAAAAATAGTTTCAGCAGCTAGCATACCAGATTTCATTGCTGTATGTGTACCTTTTATTTTTGGTACATTTAAAAATCCTGGACTACATCCAACTAAACAACCACCAGGAAATGAAAGTTTTGGAATAGCCAATAAAATAAGGAAAAAAACGAGAAGATATAAAAAAATATTTTTTGTCGATTTTTTTTAGATACCTGATAACCACCTTCATTTAAAGCACGAGCTCCATAAGCAATACGTTTACCATTTTCAAATATTGGTCGAATTTTTGGATGAGTTTTAAAACGTTGAAATTCTTGGTAAGGATTTAAATATGGATTTTTATAATCGAGACCAACCTAAATAAAATAGAACAAATCAAACAAAAAGAATTAAGATAACAATACATACAACATATCCAACAAGAATTAATGGTTGATCATTATCTAATACATGATACATAAATGAACCACCATATGTATTCGCATCCTAAACGAAAAACAAACATATTAATATGAGTATGAAATAGTTAAGAAACAAAAAAGACAGAAAATTAAAAATTTAAATGAAAATAATTGTTTAAAATAAAATCTAATCTAAGACTCAACATTCAATTCTCAACAAAACCAAAGACAAATGTATGTTGTAGAAGTAAAAGTAAAAAAGTTTTTACACAAATACTGTGAACATGTATCATTAATAACTTTCGAGCACAATATTCAGTTTTCTTGTATTAATGTGTTCTCATGTCAAGATATGGAAAAGTGAAACAAGATATTTTGTAGAGCTTGAAAAACACTATCGCATAAATTAAGCTTTACTTTTCTAGATTTTCACAAGAAAAAAAACGCTGTTTTCGCACCGAAGTGCTTCATAGTCTTGAAAAATTTATATAAATTACGAGGGAGAACATTCTCAGGTGAGCCACGTCGTTTATTTTCATATTATGCTCACATGTAGAGACCGATTAGATTAGAATAAATTTCAAATGGTTTGTGCTCTTATTGAAATATCGAACTTTTAGTGGATTTTTCCTATAGAAGGCCAGTTTATATCTCTGCATTTCAACCTGAAACTTTGTCAACATAAAGGTCTTCATTAGACTAGTTGATATGTAAGGTTTCATAATTTTTGGAGACTCCATCTTCGAGACATGTGTCTTTCCAAACGAAGGCACTTCTCTTCAGATATTATATATAAGACATATATATATTTTGAAAGATTCATATCTCGAAGATGGAGTTTCCAAAAATTATGAAACCTTACATGTCAGCTAGTCTAAATGAGACTTTCATGTTGACAAAGTTTTAGGTTCAAATTTGGAGATATCATTTAACTTCAAAACTGACCACCTACAGGAAAAATCTACTAAAATTACGATATCTCAATAAGACCACAAACCATTTGAAATTTATTCTAACCTAATCCGTCTCTACATATGAGCATAATATGTAGGTCAATGAAGAGGCTCACCTGTGAATGTTCCCTCGTGAGTCAATACTATAGAAATTTACTTAATTCTGAATAAATGCTTTCTTTGCTCTCTTAATTACGTTCAGATAAAAAAGATAGGGCATAGTAGATCTGGATCTGCTGTTCAAACACTAGATTCTTTGTTAATATTTTAGATTAATACGTTCTCTCCTATGCGACATTAAATAGAGCACACTTGAGATGGTGTTTTGAAGCGTTTAAACAATTGTAATCCAAGATGAAATTAAAATAATAAATTTAAGTATGATTGAGAAAGAATATCGCTTGTATAAAATAGATCATGACATTTTTTAAACTCTCTTATATTCATCTGTTAACTTTAAAATATTACGATTCTTAATAAATTAAACTTTTATTTATAAATCATATTTCAAAATGTTCACTATCAACTTCAGTAGGAATTATAAATTAGATTCATAAGTTTTATTTTTAATACAATTAAGTTTCATTTAAAATATGATATTTTGTTATAAATCAACTTACCAATGGCCATCCAGCTGTGTGTAAAACAAGACCTGGCTCATGTTTACTTTTATCAACTTCCCATATTTCTTTTAAACCAATACCATAACTTTGTGGTGTACAATTTTTTCTTAAATCAAATTTTTTATAAAGTTGTTTAGCCAAATGACCATGACATCCTTCAGCAAAAATCGTATATTTAGCATGTAATTCCATACCACGTGCAAATGAATCCTTCGCGAATAAAAAAAAGAAAAAGAAAACAAACGTTATAATACAAATGATATTAAATTTTTTTTTGTGAAAATAATTACTTTAGGTGAACCATCTTTAGCAATACCAACATCATTTGTTGCTATACCTTTAACACTACCATCATCATGATATAAAATCTAAATAATTTTGATAATTAGAAAAAATAAATTTCAATATAAAAACAAATATATATATATATATATAAACTTCGCTAGCTGCTGTTGCTGGATACATTTCTACACCAGCTGCTTCAGCTTGTTCACCAAGCCATGCAGTTAATTTACCCAAACGAACAAGATAATTACCATGATTATACATTGGAACTCCTTAAATAGTTTCTACTTAAATAATAAGATCAATCACAAAATTTATATTACCTTTGAAGATTGGAATAGGTATTGCCGAATTTTTAGTAAGAAAATAAAAACGATCTTTAGTGACTGTATTAGTCAATGGAGCACCTTTCTCTTTCCAATCTGGTATTAATTCATTAAGTGCTCGTAGTTCAATACAAGCACCAGATAATGTATGAGCACCTTCAAATAATAATGCGGTACTTTGATTTTTTTTCTTTTTTAATATTTATTATTTTATTACTTACCAATAGTTGAACCTTTTTCAACAACACACACTCGTATTTCTTTATTTTGTTGACTAGATAATTGTCTCAATTTAATTGCAGCTGAAAGACCAGGTACACTGTAGTTAAGGAAATAAGATGATTTTTTAAAAGAATAAAAAAAAAAAAAAACTATAAAATTAACGAAACAAAGAAAAGGATATATGGTCCACCACCAACAATAACTACATCGTATTCTTCTGCATAACGTTCCATATTGATATCTATAAAGAATTAATATTAAATGAAAATCAAATAAAAGAAATTTCTTAATAAATCATTATATTATAATATGTGACTAGACAAATTACTCATATTGAAACAAAAAAAAAACAATACCTTTCCATCGTTCGTCCTTGTCTCTTGGATAAATTGTATAATGTGTTGTTATTTTACGTGGTGTTGCCTCAGCCGGTGTCGTTGTTGAATTCCAACGTATCAATGAAAATGAAGGTCGTACTACAAGGTAGAAACGACTATCAATAGAGATTATGTTTGAATCAATACATACTTTGTTTAATAATCGATGGACGAAGACAAAATCGAAGTGAATACGACATTTATGGTAAACAAAAAATATCTATCAATAACTTTTAAAAACAAACATAATAACAAAACATATGTATTCCTTTATGTTCTCAATCTTATCTGAACGTGCAATATAATAGTCAATATCCAAAATAAAGACGCACATATACACACACACAAAAAAAAAGAAGAAAAAAGTTATATCTGCAGTTTTTTGATTGAACAAAAGATAACATAGGAAAGTTTACAAATATGTAAAAAAAAATGAATTGAAAGAAAAACTATTTAAGTTATTCTTTTAATGATGATTCGGTGATGCTCTTGGCATAATTTTTCTTTGTTGATAATAATTTTCTTTTCCAATTTTTAATTTTCGTTTACGACGTTTTGGTCTATGAATATAATTTATACTATTATTAGTATTATTTGTTATTGTCGTTGATTGTTGATTATACATTGATTGAAGAAAATCTTGTGTAACAACAATACATTTTGTATATGGTACTGTTAATGTTAATTGTGATGATGTATCAGATATAGATTGTACGATTTGTTGTTGTTCTGATGGTGTAGCATGTTGTATAGCAAATAATTGTTCTATAGAATTGAAATCATCATTTTCATTATTAATTATTGATGGTAATACTGATGGTATTGGTGTATCAGGTAAATAATTTTGATAATCCATTGGTGGTGTTTGACTAACTAAATCATTTAAAAAATCATCATCAAAATTTAAATCATGAGAACTTTTATTTAATAAAAATGATATTTGATCATTTTGTGAGTTGTTATTATTATTTAATTGTGAAACAATTTGTTTTGATAAATTAAAAAATGTTTGAAATTCATTAACTTCATCATCATCATCATTATTTTCATTTGTATTTATTTGTTGAGATTTTTCATAATTAGCATAAAGATTTGAACGAAGTTGACTGAGATGTTTACTTTCATCAAGAAAATTTAAAAATGTTTTTGACATTTGTTCATTTTCAAGATATTCAAGTATTAATAATGCTTCATCTTTTGCTGAAAGATCATTCTTAGACATTCTTCTTTTTTTTTTGTTAAAAGAAAATAAAATCAAATTTAAGTTTTTTTTTTTGTACACCAATCAAAAGAAAAAAATATATTTATATATTTAAATTTATCTAAAAAAAAAAAATTTTTTTTGTGGTTAGTCTTTGTTTTATTAGAAAATAAAATAATGACATGATTTTCTTTTTTCTATTCCTAGTCAGAGAACAAAGTACAGCTATTTTGAACATAAACTAATCAAGATAATCGATAGATGTCAGTCCATAATAGAATTTTTTTCCGACAAAGAAGAATCATAATTTGATTCAATGCATGTTCATTATGATATTGATGTCGCTCATAATTGCTGTCAGTTAGATAGATAAAATATTGTTAAGAACGTATACGTAACGTCGCGATGATTTGAAATTCAAGCAAACTTTGTTTTTTTTGACATATTCAAACAATGGTTTTTTTTTATGTAGCGATACAGAAAAAAGGTCTGAATACGAATCCATATTCATTGTGCTTTGCCACTATTGATTTTCTCCACAATGGAATAATATTTTTTTTAAAAAGTATGGATAGATTTTTTTTCTAACCATATGATAAATAAATAAAAAAAACTATCGAGCCTAGCAAAGACTTGATGCTTTTGGCATACTGCTCAGCATTTATGTAGTCAGTTACATACACACTTGGCATCCATACATTGCATGCTGATTTACTACAATGAAATCTGGACTGTATGATGCTGTGTTCTGAAGAATGGCGAATTGCTAGAAATTCGTTCGAAATATATCACAAGATGATATAAACGTTTTTGAATCTTCAGTAAGTTCTACAAAACGGCAATTTTGACGATTTAGCCTCCATCTTTTACCCGTGATAATGAAAATCTACGACCGGACAGGATCGACTACACCTACGGAAAAAATTTTCGAATAAAACCGCAGTTTCAATAAACCGCGAAAGTCAGACCATTTATTCGGCTTTTAGAAACCGGTCAAAGCCGCGGTGCAGAAATACCGCGGTGTGATCGGACATAACCGCGGTTAAAGTGAGAGAAAATTAGCTCATACCGCGGTTTTGATCGGTTTCTAAAAACCGAATAAATGGTCTGACTTTCGCGGTTTATTGAAAGCGCGGTTTTATTCAAAAAATTTTTCCGTGGTTAGGTGGAACCGTTCATCATTCTTCTGTTAATTCAAACTCCATTTCGAAAATCTGAGATCACTTCGCATCGCATTTATTTAGTCCTTTGCAATTTTCTTTTTTTCTTACTTACTAAACATATGCATCGAAAATTATCATTTTCGGTCCCAATGATCTCGAGATCGGAGAGTCAGAAAATACACAGATAGGTGATCCTTTACTGTCTTATTCAAGCATCGAAGACAGCAGTGTTCAGCATTCGAAAAAAAAGGAAAATTTCAAGCATTTATGTTCCAAATATTTCGGTAGCTCCCAAAATGATGTAATTTTCAATATTTCTAAAAGCTTTTGATTTGTCAATGCCATGTTATAATCGAACTGATGAAAATTTCGGATATTAGAGCATACCTCATCGAAGAAGGTAAAAGTTGTTTGAACAGCATTAATTTCTAGGAATTCTTTTTCTGTAGAAAATTCTTATATGTGAAATCAAAAACGATTATGTCGCTTAAACTCTTTAGCTTTGTTATGCTGTAAATAGTAGGAGTGAAAAAAGAAGCTTATTGCAGTCCCAACAACAGAGTGGATATGTATGTCATCAAACAAAAATGTGTCAAATAAAACTTAATATAGCGTGTAGTTTTAAGAATTAAACATGATGTATCTTTCAATGACAATTTTGCTATTATTTTATGACTGTTTCTCTAAAGAATCTAATTTCTTCCTACAATAGATGATTTTATACTTTTGTGGAACGCACATTATATATTTTAAAGAAAAAGACAGTGAGTGTAAGTTTTAAGTCAAGATTTTGGGGTTCCCTCACATCGTCATAGGAAGGGATAGAGGAAGAATAACTCGGATATATTTTTAGAGCAACAGCATATTCTTCAAGCAGAAAGTGATGGAAATCATCGAAAATTGTTGAAAAAATGACTGTTTGTAAAAGATTCAACCTTAAGCTATTCTCTGATGCATTTATCTTAATTTCAATATTTTCTGACAAAAAACGAACTTTTTTTGAGAGTAGAAGCTTTCAAAACTCTACTGAGAATCACATACAGCAGACAATGGGGAAAATCCAAGTATTGGTATCATATATTTATTTATATACATCTCATATTTCTAGTTTGATCCTTTCATTTAAGTATGAAGCACCACAAGATATTACACAAAGTCATCCTCAAGTGGAACTAGAATTATTTTGACTATAGTCTGAAATTCATTTTCAAAGATTATGCAAACTATCAAAATAGAACAGTCATCTTAATTTTCAAAATTGGAATTATAGTAGGAAAAATATATTATCAATTAAAATCTCTTTAGCTTCTTCTAAACTTGACAAATTATTGCCTTTATTACCTCCTATAGTTCGTAAAAAAAAATTATAGAAATTTACAATCATATTCCTAGTACAATATTTAAATTTTTCAGTCCAAAACCAATTACGTCAAAAGCAGAATGTAGTAAACGTAAGTTGGCGAGGGAAAACTCAATTGAAACTGATGATAATGAATACTCGAATAATTCACCACAAAATTCAAGTTATCTTCAATGATCAAAACATGTACCATTATGAAGAAAGTCAAATAAATCGGAAAGATTCTATTGAATCGATGTGGAAAACAAAAAACAGAGAGTCAAACAATATGATTGATCAAAACATAACTTCTCCGATTTACACTGATAAAAAAGAAATCCTGTTTCCAGCATAGTAAAACTTAAATGCCATCCAGTTCAATAGGCTTGAAATTACAAAAGTTTTTTTTTTTCAATGACTTTTTTGATTCAATATCTTGATTTCTACGAAGTACTTCTTACCAACAAGCATAGTTTACAAATTCAGTGTATGAATTGTCTTTTTGTTTTTTTTGAGAGTAAATGTTTTCTTGAAAAAAAAAAAAGAAGACGTCGTAATAATTCTTCAATATTATTATTGAACTATGAAAAATTTCAACATTTCTGAATTTATTTGAGAACAATATGTTAAATTTAATGATATCCATTTTTGTTAACTGATAGATTATTATTTTTTATTATATTTCTTTTTTTTATTATGCTTTATCATAACAAACAGAGACAGCTTGTGGTGCAGGACATTGTCCACCAAAATATAAATCTTGCATCATACCAAGATTAAAATCTTTACATTGACGATGATCAATTTCTTGAGTTTCAAGAAGTTGATCATTATTATCAAATAATTGATATATTGTTTTAATTTCTTCAAATATAAGTGTAACTTTATACCAAATATCAATTTGTAAACGAGTTGAAAATTCTTTTAATAATGTACCTTCTCTTTCAAATGGTTTAAGACTATTATCATATGCATATGCAGCTATTTCAATTAAATTTGAATCAGGACAATTATCATTCTCACCAATAACATATCCAGATTCATAACGAAGACAATTTCCAACACGACGAAATACAAATCGATCTGAATCTTTATGATTACTTGTCAAATAACCACATCGACCAGCTCCCCATAATTTATTCCATGATATTGTACATAACTCTCCTTTAGATTCTGTTGGTGGAAATAAATAACGAGCTGAACTAGTCGTAAATTGAATACGTGTTGAAATAGTTGTATTAGATTTCAAACCATGAAATGGAATCATTGATGAATAATGTGCACCTTGTTTTACTGTTCGACATTCAGCTGAATTGACAACATTATTTGCAATGAATATCGTTGCAATTATAGTAAGAACGAACAACATTCTCATCGACTTTTTTTTTCTGTATTCCAATCGAATAGTTTTGATTTCTTTTTATTATTGATGTATATAAGTACTTTTGAAACTTTTCTCTACACCTGTGCATTGTAAAAGATTAATTTGATATTCTATATTCAAAATATTGGATATGAAGTGCAAAAAAAACAATGATTAAAATGTATAAGAAGGGGATTAATAAGAATTGAAGTTTGTGATATTCTTTTGATTTCTTTTTGAAATAGATAGTAAATGAAGATTATTCATTTGAAAGCGAAATTTGAGAAAAAGAAAACAACAAGAACATTTTGTTTTTCAAGGAAAAACAATATACCAATGAAGACAAAACTATAATTATTCTTTTGAAACAAATTTCATGAAAGTCATAAGATTATTCTAACAAAGAAAATCTATGGAAAGAAGAATATTCCTATCTTGCGGCAGATTCAATACCTTATGATTACTCTGAAAAGAGTTCGGACTGATAGCTTATTACTACTAAGATACTTCATTTTTATGGTATTTTTTAAGTACAGTGCCGTGGTTCCCTCAGGAACATCGGAACAACAAAGCTTAGAATTTCGACTCGAAACTTTGTATAGTGACAGATCCCAATTAGGATAGTTTATTGTAAAAGTTTCAGATATCTTGGTTGTTCCTATCTTAAGATATCGTTATGGAAAAGCATATATGTACATCGCTCTTACTCATTGACAGAATTCGAGGCTGCTTTCATTTCAGAAGAGGAGCAATCAGAAGATCTGAAACCTTTATAATAAACTATTCTCATTGAGGCTTGCCACTATACCAAGTTTCGAATCGAAATCCTAAACTTTGTTGTTCTGATGTTCGTAAAGGGAACCACGGCACCGTGATTAAAAAAACCCATAAAAATGAAGTATCTTAATAGTGATAAGCTATCAGCACGAACTCTTTTTAGAGTAATCATAACTCATTAGGATCTATATGATGCATATAGTTCCGACTTAAAAGTAAGGAATCACTTGGGAACCTTCCCTTGTTAGACAAATAAAACCATCACATCTATCGAAAATGGTTTTTGAAGTAAAAGATTCAATTATGAGAAGTATTAGATATCACATAGGGCTTTTCTTTCAGTTTAATATCGACTGTAGTGCATTAATCGCTAAATCACTAATCATAAAAAAATGGACATTTCTTAGGCAATGTTTTCTAGTAGTATTGTAATGAGACTAATTAACTAACCAAACTCTCAGGAGCTGCGAAAGTGAACGAGAGGGTACACTCTCTCATTAATTGAAAATTATTTGTTATTACTCTGTAAAAACTACCAAGATTTTTTAAAATACCCTACTACTTCTATAAAACATTTTCTTATACACCTCCTAGTATTGGGATCTACTCCCCTACAATTACTATATATTTTTTGAAAGCGAAATTCAAATTTATTAAATTTTTCTTCTATTGATAAATAAAGAATTAGTATCATTCTACTGATTTTCAAAAGATTATATAAATATTGCCGTAATAAATTTATTCGAATGTTTATTTTAATTTGAAAAATGCATTTATACTTTTTTTTTTGCCGCTCATTTCCGTTTGTAATGAAATACATTTTAAAATTGTGAGAAAAAACGGATACACATACACAGTGGACAAAATAAAATAATAACAATAGAAGCTATACAGCTCACTATTTAATCCTTTCCAATAGAAAAAGAAAAACACATCTAAGAAAAGGGTAGTGCATAAATAGTAAATTCATCAGAAAGAATTAGACCAAACAAAAAACAAAAACAAAATACAAACACAAAATAGATCAATATAAATGAAAAGATATCTTAAATGTGAAACGTATATAAGAGATTAACATTCTCCGAATATGAAGATCTGACTCAGAGAATGAGAGAAAAAAACAAACAAACTATGTGATGATTAAATTTCTAAATAAATTAAATAAATTAATCAATATTTTTATACATTTCTTCAATTTCTTTTTCAAAATATTTGCCCAATTCAGGTCGTTTAGTTTTCATTGTTGGTGTTAAAAGATTATTTTCTATAGTAAATAATTCAGGCTGTAGATAAATATCTTTTACCTATTCAAATACAAGAATAAAATAAAAAAAAAAATAAAAATTTTCTCTAATTAAATACAAAATGAATAAATATAAACATACCATTTCAAAACCTTTTAATGAATTTTCTTTTTCTAATTTTTTTATATCATTAAATATCAATTCTTTAATTTCCTAAAATCAAAAACCAAAATCACTTAAAATAATAAAGAAAAACCAAAATAAACGAATCATCTTACTTTTTTCTTACATAATTCTACTATATCACCAGAGATATTCTGTTCACGAGTATATTTTTCAAGAATATCTGCATCAGGAACAATAATCGCTACTGTAAAACTCTATACAAAACCATCAAAACATACGTAACAAATCAAAAAAATATATATGTGAATAATTCTACCTTATAGCCATTACCATAAACAAATACTTGAGCAATATATTTACTTTGAATATAAATATTTTCAATACGTTCCGGTGCAACATATTCACCCTAAAATAGAAAATAACACAAATTCGATCTATTAATATCAAAAAACAAAAATCTTTGAATTTACACATCAAATAATCATTAACTCTTATGGAAAGTCTTATTTCAGTAGATAGATCATGTTTATACAAGAGAAAACTTAAAATAATTCATGTATATGGATCTTTATACTTAATTTAAGATTATCTTGTGAGAGGATGTTTTCAACTGATCAATGACTTTCTCATGAAACAAAGGTTATTGATCTAGCTGATTCAGAATATGACCATGATAAATTCACAATTCGATTTACTCTATAGTTTAGAGAGATTAAAAAAGATCTTTGGCGAAAAATTGGTGGATCTAGCAAACCGGCATATAAAGACCTAAGAAGGTTTCTCATGATCAATAATCTATAATCTAGTAGCTTTCGATAAAAAAAAAAGCGACTAATTATTTGAAAACATTCCATCATTAATAAGTTTTTCAACAAAATCCTATGCTTCTCGTAAGATGACCTTCGAAATCGACTTTCCAGTTTAGAGTTCAAGTATTTTACAATTAAAATTTTTCATGGAAATTTTATTTGTCAAAATTTTGAAGATGTCAGTCGTTTTAGGTTATCGCTAGTCGAAATAAGACTTACTTAATGACGTACAATTTATCTCAAAAGTGATTTATCACTTGAAGAGCATCGAACTTCAGAAGTAGAGACCTTAAAAGTCGACATTATTACAGTCAATTTCAGTAGATATCAAAATATCAAAATTCAAAAATATCTTTGCAAAATATCGAAATAACAGATGCGTACTGAATTCGAAGTTTCGGGTTGATCTTTCAACTAAATAATAAAACGAAGTGAGAGTAAGCCAATAGAAAAGATCTCAGAATTGGCTATGATAAATCATTCAAAAACTGAAGAGCTACAGACATTCAGAAGTATCCGAACTTTAGCATGGTTCCGTAGCTCAAGAAGCACTTGAACAATCATCAAAACACTTGACACTGTCAGAATGACTTGGACGGTTTCCAAACTCGAATACCGAACCGGAGCTTGAGTTCGGTGCATGCCTGTTCTAGTGTATCGCCATGGCTGATTAGCTGCGTTATTCGACACATATCCACAAGGTACTGCGTGCAAACCTTAGTACGACCAACCATGGAATGATCCTGAATAAGTCACTAACGGCTATTCGTCTCAGATCATTCGTCTGATAAGATGATGACTACGTTGTGACATACACCTACTCTTATAGTTAATTAGTGTGTATAGAAAATGCAAGAATTCTGCTTCAGGTTGGTGTTCTGTTCAGAGTTACAGCTAGTCATAGTGGTGGAGAAGATACCGGGCAATTGAATCTATCACTAGACAGCATCCCATATTGTAGGATAGCTGAAAGGTAAAGAGATTCTTATTCTTCCTATTTGATCTTAAAAATATGATAGACTTCTATGGATTAGAACATACTTGTGCCAATTTAAACATATGTTTTTTTCGATCAATAATTTGTATTTGACCAGTCTAAAAAAAAATAAAAATAAATCATATATATCAAAATAATTATTTCTAATAAAAACTTTCTTACCGGTACCCATTTAGCAATATCACCTGTATGTAACCAACCTTCATTATCTAATGCTTCTCTTGTTTTTTCTTCATCTTTATAATATCCTTGAAATACATTTGCACCTTTTATACATAATTCTCCAACATTATCTTTTGAAAAATATTGCATATCAGGTACATCAGCTAATTTAATCATATTACAAGCAAATGGTACACCAATATTTCCTGTTGTTGAATCTCCAAGAATTTGACATGATGATATACCACAACATTCTGTTTGTCCATAACCTTCAACAACATAAGCACCACAAACACGTTTAAGAAATTGAAGAATTGTTGGTGATAATGGTGCAGCACCACTAACAATTAATTTAACTCGACCACCAAGACGTTGTTGAATACGTTTTAAAATAATACCATCCCAAATCATATGACGTTTAATACGATGGTTATCAACATCATCTGCTTTAGCTGATAAAGCTTGATTAAATAAAAAACGTTTTACTGGATTTAATTGACGAATTGTTGATTGAATATTATCATACTTAAAATAAAAGTTTTATTTTATTTTAATGTTTTTTTTTTTTGTTTTTATTTTTACCATTCGATTAAGAAGTCGAGGTACACAAGGCATTAATGTTGGTTTTAAATAAGTAAGATCATCAGATAATTGACGTACATCACCTAAATAATAACCAATTTTAAAACCACTACATAAACAATAAAGCTAAAATAAATAAAAGATTTATTTAATAAATAAATTAGACAATAATTTACTTCAATTGTTTGTTCATATGAATGAGCTAATGGTAAATATGAAATAAGTGTTTCTAATTCAGTAAAAATTGGCTTCTAGAATAACAAAAAGGCATACTTTTTCAATCGATTTTTTTCTCAAAAATAAAACTTC